CTGGGATCGAGTCCCGCATCGGGCTCCTTGCTCATCAGGGAGCCTGCTTCTCCCTCTGCCTCTGCCTGCCATTCTGTCTGCCTGTGCTTGCTCTCTCTCCCTCTCTCTCTCTCTGACAAATAAATAAATAAAATCTTAAAAAAAAAAAAAAATTACCAAAGAAGTAAGTTGTTTCCAAAAAGGAGTAGTTTGGTTCATCTAGTGTATTGATAGCCTTATCAGCAAAACATATTTAGATATTGATAACAGAATCTTTAATGAGCATTACAATAATATTAAAATGTCTTTTATTGCAATTTATCAAATATAATTTTTTTAACCTTATTTAGTGATGGACAACATAAGCGCTTTCCCTATTTAATCATGATGATACACAGGCAGTAGCTTTATAATGTAAATTTCAAAACTAAATATTCTTACATAGTAAATTTATTTTAATAGTAGTGATTTTGAGAAATATTGCATATGTTTTAAAGAAAAAAAGTTCTCCTTTTTCAAATTCTGTTTTTTAATGGTAACAGACAAGAAAATATTAAAAATATATCCTCAAAATTTAAAACAAAATGCTAAAATGAAGAAAAACTGTGTTTCACATTAATGAACCAGTCTGGTATACTTATAAAATTTTATTTTAACCAAGTAATACTTTATCTGATACTAATTTAATATAATTCAATATTTTCTATAAATTAAAAAGAATTGATACTTCCATGTGAAAGATTTTTCAAAACCCAAGTGTGAATATGTGGATTTTAAATGACAACTGTAATCCAAAGACTGAAATATTGAGTGGAAAGGTTGAATGTTTTTTTCATAATCATCTCTTCCTCTGTCTTTCACATCACCCATAACAAGAAGGCATATAGAAAACTTTCAAAGAAAAAAAAAAAAAAACTTGTGAAACTTTTTTCCCCCTCACATTGTTCTACTCCTTAATTAGAAAGCTGACTGACAGTATCAATCCTTCGTCAAACCTTTATAGAGGCACACACACTCTGGCTACTGGATTATAGGACTCTTCTGATTTTCTTCAAGTTTTGGATTGGTCAAGAGCTAATTTTATTTCAGATTGAGAAATTAAACCAATGCAATGGCTGAAAGTGATCAGAAAATATTACTTCTGTAAATTATATGAGTCATTTGGAGATATAATTGGGAAACTTTTATACATATATACAACCAGGAATTGGTAGCTCATTTTTATTTTTACATGTTATCCTTCAAGAAAACTCATTAGCATACTTGAAACAATAACATTTCATCATGGGGAAGCCTTTTCAGTGTAGAAATTGGCGGTTTAATGGGCAGCCCTGAGGCAGACCCACCAGACAGACAGGAACACAATACTTGCAACATATCTATTAAGTAATGCCTTTTAAAGAAACTATTTATATAGAGAGATTTGAGACTCATAGAGGAGAATATGAATGCATATACAGAGGCTAACAATGGAATCCAAATGCAAAATTTCTGAAAAGAATCTATAAATGTTTTCAGAAAGTCTCTATAGCCTGAGGCATGGTTGAAAATAGTTTATGATTTACTATGTGGTATCTATTGTTCACCTCCTTTTGCTAAAAACTAATATCTGAATATTTTATAAGGTGTTTGAAACATTTAATATGGTTGAGAATACCCAATAATTTAAAATTTTCAAAGTATTTCTAAAAATATATTTTAATTTATTTTAAAATGACATAATTTGGTGAAAATGCATAGAGTCACACATAGAATAATTGGATAATAATTGACAAAATAACATTTTTATTTCTTCTAGACCTATGGAAGATCTAGCTTGAATTGAGTTCCTGATCACAAAGTTTATATTTTTTTAATAATATAGTAAAATCACAAATATCTCTTTTGAAATTCTTCAATGGATTTGATTGTCTAAATAAGCTCTTAAAAAAGATTTTAAAAATATAAAGAATATTTTATTCCTTTACTCTATTATTTTATTTGTCCTGATATACAAAAATGTGAAATAATTTACCTATAAATTAACTAGCATTGCTCCTTTATGTGTGAGATCAGAATCCAACTCTCTTAAATAAAAAAAAAAAAAATGCCTTCTCTTCAACTAAGCAATTCACTTTATAATTAACTCTCAAAAACTTGTGAGACATAGCTATCTAATATTAATTTTCATTTAATACTTATCACATTATAATAAAATAAAATCTGACTTTAAATATTCTAAGTATTCATAATTATAAAATATATAATCACAGTATAATACAATGATAACTGAACAATATATACCTATTAAAATAATATGAAAAGGCAAAGGCAATTGGTACATTATTATATAGTATAAAATATATAATTACAGTATAATACAATAATAACTGAACAATATATACCTATTAATATGAAAAGGTAAAGGCAATTTGTACATTATTACATAGTACATTATTAAATTGTATTTTTGTACATTTTGTACATTAAAAATTGTACATTATTATATAATACATAGTACATTATTAAATGAAGAGATTACAAAATTTCATATAGCATAATATATGTGAGTGAATGTGTCTGTATATATGTATATATAAATATATAAAATATATAATACATATACAATTATGAAATATATATATAATAAGTTGTTTATGTATGTAAAATGTATGAAATTATACTTAATATTATTGAACATTATTAAGCACATCTGACAAAACGGACCCATCTGTACACATCACATACACACAAGTATGTGCATGTATATGCAAATTTAGAAAAGGTATTTTAAAATCTTAAATATAGGGTCTCATAATTTAGCAATTAAAATTTTCTTCTTGAAATTCTTTTCAAAATATCTATTAAATTAGAGTGTATGTGAAATGGCATTGATTTTGAAAGATTAAGGTTATTACATTTTCTGTGTAATTTTCTCTTCAAATGTGTTTCAGGCTTTTCTGTGTTTTAGCACCAGATATCATCTCTGGCTAAGTTTGACATAAACAGATTTTGGCTTCCCGACCTTGGGCTACTGCGGGCTGCGGTCCATAGTCATTCCGTGCAGCTATGTCTTTGCCCGCGGTGCAGCTGCTGAGGGGCCTGACGGGTCTCACCCGGAGGCTCCCGGTGCAGCATGCCCAGATGCACTCCAAGCCGCCGCGGGAGGAGCTCGGGACCATGGATGTCGCTGTTGGGCTCACCGCTACTTCCTGTGTTGCCTCCTGCCATGGGGTTGGGTCCTGTCGCATCTGGAGAGCTACAAGAAGCGGGAGTGAAGGGGGCTGTCCTGTCCCTCACCCTGTGACCTGACCACCCCGGCCTCTCCTGATCATGTCTGCTGCATTCCTGGCAGGATCACGTCCTTCAGTTACAGTGACCTCTTCCTCAATCATGACCTTTCCATTTCTCCATGGTGACATCCTGGGACCACGTGTATTGGTTTATGAGGCCCTTCTCGGTAGGGCCCTCCTTGTGACAATAAAGTCTACTTAAACCTTGAAAAAAAAAAAAAAAAAGTTTGACATAAACATAAACAGTAAGTACAAAGAAAGAAAAAAAAAGAAAATTTTGGACAATTAGAAGTAGCTCATAGAATTAAAAAACAATTCTTGAACAGAGAGGCTCAGGAAAGGGACTACATGTGGCAGGAAATGGCTCCAGGAATCTTCCATATTAATGAAACAAGCCTATCATTTTCCAGCCATAGGTAACATAGTTCAAGATCCAAATTTTCAGGATTGAGGGATGCTGATTGTTCTTGCCTATGTTCTGTGTCCATGATTTTGTCAGAGTGAGAAGGATAGCTTGACTGGCAGTCTAGATAGCTATGCTTAAGGAAGCCTCTAGTATAATGGTACCTAAAGGAATATTGTGGTACAGATAGTAAAAAAAATGATAACGGTATGCTGGCGAGGCTGACAAAAATGACAAGTCTGCCATGTGTAAGTTAGCATACCCACCTTAAAAAATGAAAACTCTGATTTCTGTTTTACTTTACAAGTTTATTTACAAATATGGGTGTCTTTGCTCATTACACTATAGTTCTCAATTTTTGAGAAGTGAAATACACTCCAGATACAGACAAGCAATCCAATTTCCCAATGAAATTATTCACAAAATAAGCAGCCACAAACATGTGAGAATAAAAGTAAGGGTGGATTTATGCAGTAAAAACTAGAGTCTTGTCTTTTGAATGCTGATGAATACTGTGTAAAAATGGAAGGGGTTTAATGTGGTTTGCACATTATGTGACTTTATGTCCAAAAAATCCTTAATCAAGTGCAATATGAATCTGGTTAATAAGATAAATTCAACAAACATGAAGCAAAATAATTTTACATACATTAAACATTTAAACAGTAAGATTGTACTGTTAAACATTATTTTCAAAACAGCAATAGACTATGTAATTTAGTGTAAGGAAAGAGGAAAATGTATGTTACTTATATTAACTCAATTTTTATTCACACCATGTAGTTTAAAACACTTCACATGTATTTAATAATTATTTCAAAATAAAATTATCATAATAAGATAAAATGCAATTGAAGAAAGTAGAATTTCTAGGAATAAAGGTTGTAGCAAATATAAACATATTTTAAAAATTGAGGCACCTGGGTAGCTTAGTAAGTTAAGCGACTACCTTCAGTTCAGGGTCTTGGGATCAAGCCCCACACTGGGCTCCCTACTTAGCAGGTTGTCTGCTTCTCTCTCTTTCTGCTCATGTTCTCTCTCTCAAAGAATAAAACCTTTAAAACAATATATTTTAAAAATCATAAATTTGATTACAAAAGACATAGACAAGTTGCTGTACATCAAGGAAAGCTAGGAAAATGTTGCCAGCATATGTAACACAAATGCTATAAAATGTTTAGGCATTAATGGAAATATGTAATAACATGGAAAAATGATAATAGAGTTTTTATGAGATGTACCCACCCACTTACACATTATAACTAGAGCTACATTTTTAAAAAATCTATAAATAGAAGGATAATAAAGAGCAAACATGTAGAACATACAGATTTTTTTTCTTAATATTCTTCATTATTCTCATATTCTATAACGAATAAATATTGTGCAATAAAGGTTAAGAAGTTGCATTTACCCACATAAATCATTCAACTCTTTTATAAAACAATATTTTCTTTCTCTACTAGGTCATTATTTTTTTTTAAATAGTTCTCAAATTCTTCAGGGAATACTTTCTTGAGAAAGAACTGTTGTAGAAACATTACACAGAAATGTCAATATTTTAAGGCACGGTGAACAAATAGTATTGAAAAAAATATTGGTGAAAGGAAATGAGGCTCTTTCTAGGTCACTTGTCTATGAAATGGTCACAAATGAGATAGATTTATTGTAGGCATTTGGGACAGATAAGCTATAAATATCAGGAAACTGGGAAGTCATTAAGTGTCCTGAGGTACATTTATTTTTTCTAAGTCAGTTTTTCTGAGAAATTATGATTCATCATCTTGGCTTCTCATGAAATGGTGAAGTTTTGGACTCATATTTTTCACGCAAAAGAAGTGACTGCCTCAGACTTTTGTATGTAAAGCTCATCTCCAAGTACTTCATGAAGCATTTATAGCCATGTCCAGGGAATTAGTTGTCCAATGAGCACATCTGGTGAGTGGCTACAAATATAACAGAAGAATGAGCTGAAAGGGTCAGAAAAACTTCTTTTGACAGGTGTCAGCTCATAATGGTGTCCCCCAGGTAATAGAAAAAAATGATTTAATTAAAAGCATAGATGCAAATTGTTTCACCATTACAGAGCCACAAAGTAACTTTGTGTATAGTTAGCAATGTTTTCCTTACCTCATGTTTGTGCTTTTTATTTTGCACCCTATGAAGACTAACTTTAATAACTCAACAAAATACTGACAGATGGGGCGCCTGGGTGGCTCAGTGGGTTAAAGCCTCTGCCTTCGGCTTGGGTCATAATCCCAGGGTCCTGGGATCAAGCCCCAATTGGGCTCTCTGCTCAGTGGGGAGCCTGCTTTCCCCCCTCTCTCTCTGCCTCCCTCTCCATCTACTTGTGATCTCCGTCTGTCAAATAAATAAATAAATAATATATTGAAAAGATACAGCATCCAAGTAGTTATGTTTGTTGTTTGCTTTGCCTTTTGTGTCCAAGAATTCTTAAAAATAGATTAATTAGGTTTTTAAAATGTGAGTGAGTAGTTATTGGAGCAGTGATTTTAACTTTCTTTTAAGAGTACCAGAGATAATACACTCTGAAAAGAGTGCACATTATCTTGCTCCTGACCCACCCAGCTGAAAGTGATAAACTAATGACTGTTTATTTAGGTATAAGAGCAAAACAACACTGCAAATTGGAAAGATGAAAAATATCATTAAGAGCACAGCCTAGACAGTGACTCCTCTGGGTCTTTTAAAAATGTCGCTCTTAGTGGGGGTGTCTGGATGGCTCAGTCAGTTGGGTGTCTACCTTTGGCTCAGGTCATGAACCTAGGGTCTGGGGATCAAGTTCCACCTCAGGATCCTTGTTCAGTGGGGAGCCTGCTTCTGTCTCTGCCTGCTGATCCCCCTGCTTTTGGTCTCTCTCTGTCAAATAAATAAATGAAATCTTTAAAAAAAAAATGTAGCTCTTAGCTATTCATTCATTTATTGGTCCATTCACTCAGCTATCATTAATTACTACTATGTGCTAATCCCATCTGCACTAGACACTAAAGATCATATGTTAACAAACATTGAATTTTAACCTTAGTTTAGTTTCTTTGTATTCAACTCTGACTGTAACATTATCTATATTAATTTCACTTTTTTTCTTTTTTAATTCACTCTCCAAAATCTACTTTGTGATATAAAACACTTACGTAAAACTTTGAATAACTCTTGATCCCAGAGTACAGATTCTGGGTTTACAACATTATCAAATAAACATGCTTCAAGAGTAAATATGACTATGAAGTCTTAATAAGTGATAAGGTATCCTGACACCTAACACATACTTGTAGCCTGTATCAGTAGAATGTTCATTTACACACCCTAGTTATCATATTGATATGAATAACATCTAAGAGATTTAGAAACAAGGAAGTGAGCTTGCAAATGGAGACCTTCTAGTTTTTGAGGACCACTGGAGCATTACTTTTCATAGAAACAACTAGTTTAATGGGATAAAATATCATGTACAGGATTTGAATGACATCATATTATTTAGTCTACTTATGTTTAAAACTACTAGGCTATCTGTGAGTGTTGTAGGTGAGTTGCTTTTGGCTTCCCATGTGCTCAGTGAACGTGACTACATGGTCCATTTCTAACATTCAGAATGACTGGTTCTTTTTTTTTTTTAAGAATTTTTATTTATTTTTGTGAGAGAGAGTGAGCACAAGTGGGGGGGTGGGTCCAGAGGGAGGAGCAGGCTCCCCACTAAGCAGGGAGCCCAATGGAGGACTCAATCCCAGGACCTTGGGATCATGACCTAAGCCAAAGGCAGATTCTTTTTTTTTTTTTTTTTTAAGATTTTATTTATTTATTTGACAGGCAAAGATCACAAGTAGGCAGAGAGAGGAGGAAGCAGGCTCCCTGCTGAGCAGAGAGCCCAATGCAGGGCTCGATCCCAGGACCCTGGGATCATGAACTGAGCCAGAGACAGAGGCTTTAACCCACTGAGCCACCCAGGCGCTCCCCAAAGGCAGATTCTAAGCTGGTTGAGCCACCCAGGTGTCCCAGGATGACTGGTTCTATGGGCATTGTTATTCTGTGTTATTTTCTCCTCAAAAATGACAATACATGGGGTGCCTGGATAACTCAGTTGGTTAAACGTCTGCCTTCTGCTCAGGTCATGATTGGGCCCCATGGCTGGTTCCCTGCTCAATGGGGAGTCTTCTTCTCTCTCTCTCCCTCTGCCCCCACCCCCCATGTTCTCTCTCTCTCTCTCTCAAATAAATAAATAAAATCTTTTTTAAAAAAAGAAAATTACACTAAATACATATACACTTTAATATGGGTAAAGTGTGTGTATTCAAAGAGCATTTTACAAAAGCTTTATTAGATTTCAATTATCTACACTGTTAAAAGAATAAGTAGAGCCTATACACTCTAACTACATTAAGGTTTTTTTTCTCATGTCATTGACATGTAAAGAATTTGCCATTTTTATGTGGGATTTTTCTTTAATAGAGATTTTCTTCTTGACTCCTAAGAGCTCTTGAATTGTTGAATTTGATTATTTCCTATTGATCACAAATTATAATCTCTTTAAGCATTTCAGAAAAGGACAAACGGTATATGCCAATTCCCTTCTCTCCATAATATAGGAAGACAATACATTTTTCCCTGTGTACATGAATACTTAATAATAA